CGCATCCAAATCCAAGATTCCCTTTCCACCACCCGTTCCATGGAGGCCGGTGTCCCCCAGGGCACCGTCCTGTCCCCACACCTATACACCATTTAGAACTGCGACATCCCACATCCCCCCAACACCAACATATACTTATACGCCGACGACCTGATAATCACATTCCAATCCGTAGATCCTAGATATTCCGTCTCCCTCCTCCAAAACTCCTTAGACCAACTTGAAACCTGGGGAAACCTTTTGACAAACACGATACCTGGGCGTGACGATGGACCAGCGTCTCACGTGGAAACCGCACATCGTGGAGACGGTGGCGCGAGCGAAGACCACCAGGGCTAGGCTCTATCCCTTACTTAAAGGTGGAAACACCCTCAGTTCAAGGAATAAGCGAACGCTTATCAAGGTGGTACTTCAACCGCAGCTAACCTACGCCTCCACGGCTTGGGGTCACGCGGCAAAAAGCCACGTAAAGTCATTACAGGCTGTGGAAAACATAGCCCTCCGCACGGCCACCGACGCGCCCTGGTACGTAAGAAACACTGACATATTACGAGACTTACAATACACAAACGCTACACAGACAATAAGACAAAACGCGGAGAAACGATTTGACGTAGCCGCTAGACATGACAATCCCCTCCTCAGGCAAGCCGTTGACTACGTACCCGACGTGACCAACAAACACAAAAGACCTAGACACCAACTTTTTGACCCTGGTTTCAGAGACAGCCAGGATCAAGAAACGAAGACAACGACACACACACACATACACACCCCCCATACCCTCCTTACCCCTCCCCTCCCGCGATAGCCTAAGGGCCACCTTAGCAAAGCGCATCCCAGGCTGCATAGCCGCACTACCCTACCCAACCATACCACACATAAACATGACACCACCCCCGGGGTTTAAACAGACGAGCCGGCGAAGCAAGAAGAGCGCCAGAAGAAAGGGCCCTAGCCGGCGAGGCCCAGCCAGGACAAAAGGAGGTCCCACAATGCGCCTACGCCGGATGGGGCCCACTTACGAAGGCTGTCCAGGCCTACACGAGATGAGGCAGGATAAAGTGGGATAATCCCCCTCGATCCCAAATCATTGAGGCCCAATTTCTAGCCATGGAATAATGGCAACCCACCTATTTTTAGTAATATTTTCCGCTGAATCCGAAAATGATAAAAAGAAAATTTTCTGACTTATGGATTCTCCCCCACACCTTAATTCTCCTCAAAAATTCAAGTAATTCAAACTGGCTATCCAACTTATCTATGTTCAGTAAAATTTTCTGCTGAATCCGAAAATGATAAGAAAACATTATGGCATGTGAATTCCTCTCCACACACCCTCAATTCCCGCTGAAAATTAAAATCCAAACTGGCTATCCAATCTACCTATGTTTGGTAAAATTTGTTGAATTCGGAAATGGCAAAAAAAATAGTTTGGGATCGTGAGGTACTTTCTAAATCCAAGTTATAACTTACCCTGGGATGGGTTATTAAATCGATAAGTGGAGATAGTTTAAGATAAACTAGGCTAACATTATAGTCCAATTAACTAAGCCTTTAAATCGAAATTTTGCCAACTTGGCTGAATTTTTGATATGAGTTAGTTTAAGGTATATTATAACAATAAGTGAGAGTAATTTTTTGTTCAACCCCCGGCCAAGGGTGGAAAAAGATAAAACAAAGGGCTTTTTCAAGATAACTCAAAAAGGGTAAGAGCTAGAAAAAAAAGTTTTTCATGAAAGTTGTAAAGCAGACAATTCTACATAAAAATGGCCTCTTAACTTTTTCTTGTACTATTACAATTAACAGAGTTAGGGAGGCTAGAAGTTAAGGGAAGATTTCAGAAATTTAAAAAAAATCATAACAAACAGAAAAATGATTGAATTTTGTAATTTTTTTTTTCAATCTGCTCTAAAATATGTAACTTTTCTTTTCAGAGAAATAGATATATTTTTTAATTTTTAATAAGAAAGTTATAACAAAAAATCAAATTTTTAATCGTTAATTTTAATGATTTAACAAAATTAAATTTCTGAAATCTTCCCTTAACTTCTAGCCTCCCTAACTCTGTTAATTTTAATAGTACAAGAAAAAGCTAAGAGACCATTTTTATGTAGAATTGTCTGCTTTACAACTTTCATGAAAAACTTTTTTTTCTAGCTCTTACCCTTTTTGAGTTATCTTGAAAAAGCCCTTTGTTTTATCTTTTTCCACCCTTGGCCGGGGGTTGAACAAAAAATTACTCTCACTTATTGTTATAATATACCTTAAACTAACTCATATCAAAAATTCAGCCAAGTTGACAAAATTTCGATTTAAAGGCTTAGTTAATTGGACTATTAGATTGAATGCAGATTTGTAAGAAAAATTAACAACAGCGGCGGAGGTATAACAGTTTTAAAAAAGTAGTTTATTAAGTTTTAAAAAAATAATTCATAATTTGGCAACGCTGCATTCAATCCACATACAAATACAAATTTTAAGTTGAATAAAAAACACAGAGACTTCAATTGCCCCATAAAACATAGTGGGTATTCCGTATTTTTGAAGGTGTATGTTAGAAAAATTGTATGTTCAATTAAAGGATAGGTAGGGTAAAAGGTTAAGCCAGACAAGGGGCAAATGTTCGAGAGTTGAAGAAGGAATAACAGAAGATGTATAAATAAAAAGTAAATGCGAATTTCTCTCAGATTGAAAAACTCCAAAGTGCATATTTCCGGTCTTAAAAATTTTTCGAATACTTGAGAATTTGGGGGTGGTTTTCACCCCTTAGACGGGTACGGGCGAAACAGTTGAGAGCTTATTCTGCTTAGTGCACTGCGACCTTCTACTTCTATACCCGAAATGGTATAGAAGTAGAAGGGGTGTAGAAGGTGTACTAACCCCTTCGGGCGGAGCAAATGGCGATAATAAATGAGAGCACGGGGGTTGCAAAGTGCCCATTCATACTCCTTTCCATAATTATACTGATGTTCATAACTTTACCCTTATTTAAGAGATCTTTTGGGGTCTACATACATTTAAGGGGTATACGAATTTTTTTGACCTCGGATTTGGATTCAGGATTGAAAAATACATAGTAATATCATAGTCAGTCATCCAGATCACGACCTTTTTTTGTGGGGTTGTGTTATTATTACTATTACTTTGTCATTGCCCGAGTCAGTATCTACCGTTATCTTTGAATTTTAATTTTACATTTCTTCGAATATTTATTTAATCTGGGAAAACCTGAATATATCAAATGAAATTAAAACAACTGATATTTTCATTAAATTGTAGAATTTAAATAGAACCAGTTTTTTCCCATATTGTTATATACCATTAGTTCTACCGATACGTTGAAGTAAAAACAAAACAAATTATAACATTTTTATATATTTTTTTATTGTTGGATTCAATGTGAGTTGCCATTGCTTTAATATCCCCCATATTTACAAATGATTCATATAAACATTATCTTATTTCCTGTGTGATATTTCACTTAAAGTTGGAAAAGTTAAACATAGTTGGAAAGAAAGATGCTTGCAACGCACGTAATTTTCGTTTTTACTTTTACCCTGCCTTTACTTATTTTTGGGCAATATTCTTCTGATTGTCAATCGAAAGAAACATGTCGAGATTGTATACAAGAAATTGGTTGTATTTGGTGTATCACTCCGGTAAGTAAATTTCCTTTTAAGAATTATACGTGCGTATATGGCAAATTAATTTCCTTTTTTTTTATTTGAAAGTAATAAGTTACAAATACAGGTACAAAATGTACATGATAATTTAAAATAAATGGGAATAGATTCTTTGATGCAAAGCATTTTTGTTAGTTAAAATAGAAAACCCTATTTTGCATTAAATTCTCTCTTTTCTATGTATATGAATAGTGATGTTTAAACTTATAGCTGCTTAAGGTTTTCGTAGTTTCGACTATGTTTCATAATCGTAAATTATTTAAAAATTGTGATACAACATAATTTAATTCGACTTTTTGAGGTATGATATGCATATTGCGTCTATCCACACAATATTTCTTTTCTTTATTGCACAAAATATGGCACCATATAATTTCAAGTTCTGTCAAAAATACAATGTAAATTTAACTTAAAAAAAGTACTTGATGATTTTTTCATAAATTAATATTTATCTTAAAAACTATTGAAACGACGACTACAAAAAACCTGATCGTATTTTATATATACTAGCTGTTACAAATTCGCTTCTCATTACAGGGATCTCGGAAACGGTAAGAGGTACGAAGTAGCTTAAATGGGGGCAAAGTTGCGTAATCAGGGAACCAATATTATGCCTCTAAAAAATCAAGGCTAACATGATTAGTTTTAGAAATATTTGAAAAAAACAAAATTTTGGAAATCCGTTTTTGTTTCATTTCAACCTTGTTTGAGGTGATATTGAAAAAAGAAGAACATTTTCTCATGACCACTTTTTGCCCTCTATCGAATGGCATAATCTATTTTTATATGTAACGTTTCGTCTCTCCAGGACCATCATCAACTTTATTGGTGGTAATAGTTTAAATAACTATATATGGATTTCACAGGGTCTAACGACACTTACAGTGTACGATTCAATAAACAAAGAAATCTAAGTAAAAAATTTAAATACATTTGGAACGAATACACTGACGATGAATTTTTCGAGACAAAACGTCTGAATCTGATTCGGGCTGAGGCAGTATAGTATTTGGAGGTCATGAAAGCTTGCAAAAAATGTAATAAAATTTCCAAGGTCGTATTTAAAAAAATGAAGTTGATGATGAAAGACGAAATGTTACATATAAAAATTGATTATGCCATTCGATAGAGGACAAAAATGGTTATGAGAAAGTGTTCTTCTTTTTACAATATCAAGGCTGAAATGAAACAAAAACGGTTTTCCAAAATTTTGATTTTTTCAAATATTTCGAAAACTAATGTTGGTCTTGATTTTTTAGATTTTTTGGTTCCTTGATTACACAACTTTGCCACCATTTAAGCCATCTTACCGTTTTCGACATCCCTGTAGTGAGAAGCGAATTTGTAACAGCCTGTATAACAGCAAGTATACGAAAATATACAGGATGTATTTAAATAACACCCAAAAAATGTAAGGGCGATTCTCTGATGAAAATTAATAAGGGCCTTTGGTATAACATTTTTTGAAAAAACTCTCCCCTGAAAAGTTATTCCCCCAAATATTAAAAAAAAATTATTTTTCTTTTTCATCTTCCATGTACAGTGTAGGAAAGCGCCGATGGTCTATCACAAGTTACGTGAGAGCGATAAAGTAAGATATAGAAATCCATGCGATAGAGAAGGATGGCTATAATGAAGGCGTATCATAGTCAACGCCCATTTCGCCCTTCCACAAATAAGAAGTGGATCTTATTTGTGGAAGGGCGAAACGGGCGGTGACAAAGAGAAGCCTTCATTATAGCCATCCTTCTCTATCGCATGGATTTCTATGTCTTACTTTATCGCTCTCACGCAACTTGTGATAGACCATCGGCGCTTTCCTACACTGTATATCAATCTAAAGAAACCAAACTTGATGAACACTATTTGTCAAAAAAACTACACTTTTTGGAATTTCTTCAACCCTGAACTATTTTTGTAAGGGGTTAAAATAATAACAGTGGATAGATTTACAGAACCTTGTCCCAGCAAAAATTATCTTATTTTTTCAAATAACTTGGCATCGCCGCATCGAATACAAAAAACAAAGACATTGCTGGAAAGAGAATTTTCTGTAAAATATAAATTTGTAAAAATATACAGTGTTCCATTTAAGAAAAACCACCTTAAAGATGCTCCGTTCTAATGCATCATCCTGTATAATTCAAAATATTTTTAAAATGTGAACTTTTTTAAGTACATCACGCCCATAAAATATTTATTTTCAAATCTTTATAATAAGGGAGATATTGGACTTTGTCACACTACTATTGGGCCGCCCTGCATATTCAAATAAATTTTCTACTAAAAATATATATCCCTAGCTAATTTATAATAAGGGAGATATTGGACTTTGTCACACTACTATTGGGCCGCCCTGCATATTCAAATAAATTTTCTACTAAAAATATATATCCCTAGCTAAATATTAATCCAGCGTCTTTTTTACGAAATTAATTCAGATATTTTTTTATCGTGTCTATATTCAAACAGGAAAAAACCCGCATTAGTTATCAGGTATTATTGTGTTATCATAACTATTAATAAATTTCCTTGACTGATTAACTTCCTTTGGTAATATTTCCGGCGACTTGGATTTATACAGGGTGTCTTTTCAAACAAAATTCGAGTTGTTTTCAAAAATAAATACTGATATATTATGTATTCTTCTTATTTCAGAATAATCTGACTGCTGATGCTGTTACAGCTTCTATACATTGTACTCATAGGAATACAACCTCAAATGACTGGTGTCCAAAAAACCTAATTGTTGAACCTAAATCTTCAGATAATGTTGTGCAAAATCGGGAGTTTTCAAGTAATATAGAGAACCCAATCCAGTTCAAGCCACAACTTATTAAACTTTCATTGAGAAAAGGAGAAAAAATAGATATACATTTTCAGTATCAGCAGGCCCAAAATTATCCTGTTGATTTATACTACATTATGGATTTATCAAATTCTATGGAACCTCATAGAAAAAAATTAGGGGAGCTGGGGGTGAAACTGGCAGAAGCTTTAAAGAGTCTTACTAGTAATGTCCGTCTAGGTTTTGGAAGTTTTATAGATAAAGTGGATTTACCATTTGTTAGCACCGTTAAAGCCAAGTGAGTTGCATATTAATTATTATTATTAATTAATATTATTTTGACTATTTTTAAGGGTATTAATCACAGACTTCTAATATAAAACTTAGAAGTCTGTGGTATTAATTAATTATAAAAATTTTGAAAAAGTAACTAACTTATTGAAAAAAAAATGTTATGTTGTCAAATAAGCTATGAAAAGAACTTTATTTCTTGATATTTTTTGTCGCCATAGTGTTTAAAATTTAATATGATAACAAAGCTGCCTCGTAAATTGTCACTTTAAATAAAGCCCAACAAATAATTCGGACTCGATAAATTATTTAACTTATTTCTCTTTTTTAAGGATTGTTTATTCATGTAATCTCCTTTTAAGAATGGAATTAATATTATACAGGGCTTCCAAGATTTTCTTAGTGTACAAAAATTATTAGTTGAAAATTGACACTGTAAAACAAGCCTGCATGATTAAAAAGTAATTTGTATAATAATTTGTCTTTGAAAAAATAAATACATACTGGCAGGAACAAATAATTATATTATCCTATGATATTGAAAAGTTGTTTAAAGTTAAAATTTATGTCCAGATGCTATTTATCATACGGACATTTTTAGTTCTGAACATTTCCTAATATTTTTCCCAGTCTCATAGTGACACGGGAATTTTTTCTGCCTAGAATGAAAAAAATTATAAAAGTAAAAATGTGACGCTGAATAATCTTGAAAAAAATATCAAATAATATTCCTAAATTATAATTTAAATAACAAAAACTGATTTAAATAACAAGAACACTATATTTTTACATAATTTTTATTTGTTATCTTTTTTATAGTTAGTATTTTGAGAATTACCTACCTATTTTTTTTTGTTATGATTTTATGTGTTTTAAATTTTATTCTGAACCAAAGAAGGTTCTAGTTAATTATTTTTGTATAAAAGGATCATTATTTTGTTTCTGTTTTTCAATAAAAGTTAAAAATTAAAATGCATAATTTTTCACATAACTGTAATTAAAAATTTTAAATAACGCAGGCGTCGTCTACCCCCCCTCGCACTGGCTTCATTATAATTACACCGAGCCATCCAGTCCTTAAATTGAAACTATACTATATTTTACACAACACGCAGATACAGTGACAAACATATGATGACAATCCCCCCCACTCCCAAGTATATATTCCATTTTATCATAATAATAGTCATGTTATTTCATACGTCACGCTATTTTTTGTCCTATAATATTATTTTCAAAGGTATTACTCCTAATATAACGTTTTAACATTATTTCGGTAGATCAGATATACATACTATAATGTGTTCTTTTCTTCTCAAAATCTTGGTTTTGTAAATAGCCAATAGAGAGTTGAATCTTTTGACGTAATGACGTTTTCGTTCGGCTTTGTCTGTCGGGTACGGCGCATGACTCCGTGATTGACTCAAAAGTGTGGTGCTGTGGTGCGCCGTGCGGTGTCGGTGGAATTCAATTACGTTAACGCAATAATAATTTTGGTATCAGCGCAGTGGCGCAGGCCATTGCTTCAGCGCAATAACGTAACGCAGTACTGAGTTACCCATCTCTAATAAGAATGTCTTCAACTTTTAGTAAGATTTACAACAACCGAGATTCCAAATAAAGCATAAGTTTTGAGTGAACACGAGTTATTTAACCAACATAAACATTTCGAAAATCCACTGTTAACGTCTTCTGAACTTTTTTTGACTTTTTGTTTTAATAACTTGACACATTAAGAGGGGAATAAAGATATTTTCTGAAAACAGACCTTCACCCAAGCATAGTCTTCAAAAACTACACTATTTTCTGAGAAAATTATATGTGGCCTATATAGATAAGGTATTGAGCTAGGAGTTGACATATTTTTTATTGCAAAATAATTTGTATTATTGAAGTTATGGATAAAAAAATTATAATAACAAATTGAAATTTTATGTCATAGATCTTTATTATAATTTTACATCTCCTTCGTACAGATTTGAGGAACTGACCTGCAAAATATTAGACTAAATTATGCAGTATTACCAGCAATGTCTAGATTTTTGTGAAATTATTTCTTTGGTAGCCATTTATTTAAATGTCATTAGTAGAGATACGCACCAAAGAGAACAACAAATATGAATGTTTGGAGCTTCTAGTCCAGATGGAGCCAGTATCAAACTTAACCATTAAAATTGTATGGCTTATAGAAAACTGTAAAACATATTTTAATTTTTGACTTCGTTTCGCCGTGACTGAATATATTTCGCAGTCACAAAATGCTCTCATAATTGAAAAATAAAATATATGACGGAACTAAGGAAATACGTCTAGGTCTAGGTTTGTCAAATAGATCATTATATATCATAGTATGTTACCATATCAGTAAGAAATACTTAAAGTAATA